TGTGTCTGTGTGAGTGTGTGTGTGTCTGTGTGTCTCTATGTGTGTGTGTCTGTGTGTATGAGTGTGTGTATGTGTCTGTGTGTTTGTGTGTGTATGTGTGTGTCTGTGTGTGTGTACATGAGTTATGTGGACAGGCAGGGACCTGTAGAGGACAGAGGAAGGTGTCAGATCCCTTGGAACCAGTTACAGGTGGTTGTGAGCACCAGTTGGGTACAGCAAACCGAACCTGGGTCCTTTATAAGAACAGAAAGTGCAGACCAGGGCTGGTGATGGTGGTGCACACCTTTAATTCCAGCACTGGGGAGGCAGAGGTAGGCAGATCTCTGTGAGTTCAAGGCCAGCCTGGTCTACAGAGAGATTTCCTGCACTACACTTCCATCTAATGACGTTGAGTTGAGTTTTTCTTTTGTTCCTTGTGTTTTTGGTGTGATAGCTAAGGAGTATTACCAAACCCAAGGTTACAAAGATCCACTCCCATGTTCTAAGAGTTTTATAGGTTAGACCTCATATTTATGGCTTTGATCCGTTTCTTTGCTCTGACTTTTTTTTTTTGCAAGATGCACAGTAGGGGTTTGGTGGCATTCTTTTCTGTGTGGTCATTCAGCCCTCCCCTTGTATGTTTACAAAACCCAGGGGACTCTAATGCCCCAGGAAATGCCAGCTGGGAAATGCCAGCCTACCAAGACCTCAGGCCACGTGACCTGGGAGGGTCACTGCCCTGGGCACAATGCTGTTCTCCCATCCATTTGCTTATCACCATGGCTCCACTCACCTCGTTTGTACCAAAATATATTTACTGAGCGCTGCCGTGTATTTGGCTGAAATAACAAGTTAGGGAGTGTGTAAAATAATGGGCCCGCTTTGTCAGAACTGGAAGAGACCCAAACGGTGGGGTGTGTTCCAGGACAGCAACTTGCTTTGAAAGTTTGAGGCCTCTAAGACTCACTCGGGGTCACCAGGTGGCACAGGGCCATGTGGTCTAATTACTCCCTTACCCGATGTGTTTGACCCCATGCTGGCTGCACCCCCAGGCAGGCAATGCCTATTCATTGAGTAGGTCCCCTGTGTCAGGCAGGATCCTCTGAAGATCCCTGGAACCTTGCCCTATGCCTCTTCTCCAGGGACCTAAGGCGGGGGCTAAGCCTGGCAGAGCTATCTTGGGCTTCTAGACCCTCCCTTTCCCGAGCACCCCCCTCCATGTAGGGTCATCCCTTGGCTCCAGCCCAGCCTTCTCTATTCCCTTAGCTGGAGCACTGGGAATGTGAGGCGGGCGGCAGGCAGCCAGGGGCACAGGGCGGGCCGAGAGGAAAGGCCCAGGTCCGGGTCATTTCCTGACACCCTTGTTTGCCGCGTGCCCCTGACTTCTGGTGGCTGTTTCCGCCCCGCCCACAGCCTCCCTGTCTGAGTGGGCAGCTGGCCTGGAACTGGAATCCTTCCACTCTTGGGTCCTTACCTCAAAGCCCAGAGGTCCCTAGACTCCTGTGAGAATGTACCTCCTGAACTTGGGCATTCACTTACCCAGTCAGGGCGTTGGCAACCTTTTTTGGGAATATGGCTTACTTCCCAGGCTTTTTGTACACCGTAAGGGATACGTAGACGCTCAAAGGGCTGACGCAAGGACCCATCCACTAAAATTGTCATCCCTCTTTCTCAGTCAGCGTCTCCGCATTTTCTTCCTTCACAGCCTTTCAGAATGCCTTTCAGGACTCCCTGTCACCACAAAGGGGTCTTAATCTGAGTTCCTGGGTAAGCTTTCTGGGCGCCTCTGTGATGGGGGCGGGGCACCTCTGATAGTTGCCTCTGTGCGGGTTAGCTATTGAGTATCAACTTCCTTAAACCTGTGGGGGGCCTGCAGGGAGTGTAGTTTTCAACCGAGCAGGGAAGATTCTCTCTAATCCAGGCAAAGCATTATGGTCAGAGCTCCAGGCATGGTGCCTAGGGAGAGGGTACGAGTTTGCTTTTCTGGAGCTCCTGGCTCTTAGAAGCAAATCCACCACAGCCTCCCTCACTCCAACGGTTACTGTTATCACTTCCCATAAAAATGCCATTTGTTGAGTGACTACTTAGTGCAAGGCACTGTACAATTTCTTTTCTTTTTCTTTTTCTTTTTTTTTTTTTTCGAGACAGGGTTTCTCTGTACAGTCCTGGCTGTCCTGGAACTCACTCTGTAGACCAGGCTGGCCTCGAACTCAGAAATCCATCCGCCTGCCTCTGCCTCCCAAGTGCTGGGATTAAAGGCGTGCGCCACCACTGCCTGGCCACTGTGCAATTTCTAATACACCTCAGTGAATCTATAACTAAGGCACGATGGTTTATTTACGAAAAGTGAAGCACAGAGAACACAGACACAAAATGCCCAAAGCTAATAGGTGACCAAATATGGCAAATGCTTCTCAGAGTAGAATTCATGGTAGGGCGGGCATGCAAGAAGCCTGGGGGGATGGTGAGTTTCTACTAGGCAGGAGAGGACTGGGACTTGGAAAGCAGAGAGTAGCCAAGCTACGGGTCTTGAGAAAGCAAGGAGCAGACATGAACTTGAGGCGGCACCTGCTTGCTGCCTGGGCTTCGTGGGGAGGACAATAGGGTGACTTGGGGAGGAACCCATGTTGTCTGGGAAGGGATTGTTCCCTATGTCATCAAATCTGGGGCTTGGGGGTGGGGGACAGACTGGTCCCCCAGAGCCCAGGTGAGAAGTCTCCAACAGAAGAGAAGTGAAGGCCTTGGGCCAGATGCCAGGGGCTTCCCTAGTTCAACCAGAGCCAGTCCTCTGGAGTCCTGAGACTCTGGCATGGTTGTCATTCTTTGCAAAGGAAGGGACTGGAGGTCTCGATGGGTTAGAGTCGAATGCGTACTGGGCTGAGTTATTTCTCTCTAAAATCCCCCACCCCAAATCTAACCCATCCCATTCCCCCACCCCCACCCTGCTGGCATCGGGCCAGGGCCTTGGCCGTCTTTGCACACTGGTAGGTAATGTGGATGCCATTTGTGGACAGGAAAACAAGATTATCCTAAATGAATAAAGTGGAGGCCGCCAGGCTGCAGCCAGGCCACCTAGAGAGCCGCACAGGACTGAGGGATTCAGGGCAGCATTTAAAGGCCTGCTGGAATCAGCACCCCCACGGGGACGATGTTGTCTGAGCTTCCGGTGGAAGCCAGGCCAGCATGGCCTGCTCAGCATCACAAGGAAAGGGCTTTTTGTTGGTGTGTGGATCTAGACTGCCATAGGGTCCCTCTGGGCTCTGGACTCCTAGTCTTCATCCCGGTCCTGGACCTTGGTCAGGTTGCCAGCTTGTGTTTCTATCTAGAAGGACCTCTTGGTTCCACACTCACTGCCCAGTTGCTTTGCCCTGTCTCAGCCCTCACTCTGTCTCCTCCGCATCCTTCTAGGTACCAGCTCCTGCTCACACACCCTAATCTAAACCTCTCAAATCCATCCACAGCTCTACGACCTCTCACCCTCTCTTACCGCCATCCACCCACACCTGGTCTCCCTGATGCTCTGAATAATCTCCAGGTTGTCAGCTTGTTGCCTGGAGGACCCGGATAAACTTCCCTTTGGGTATACGCTGATGAAGCCCTACTCTCAACGAAGCACCTAGGGCTTCTTGAACATGGCCCCCAGGAGTATCTGTGCTTGTGATTTTCACTGTATACTCTTACTCTTCTGGTCCTCTCATCTCTTCCACTGCATCTGCCTCTCTAACCCCTGGTCCTTTTCACTGTAATGACTTCAAGCTCTGCCCTGCCTCTGCGCTGCACCCCAAGAATGTAACCTAGAGCAGTTCTGCCCTGAGGGTGTAGCTTGATGCCTTCCAATCCACACCCGAGGGTTGGAGTGGGTGGGGGTGGGGATGGGCAAGAAGGAAAGAGCCAGAAAGTAAGATTTCCATCTCATTCCCCTTGGACTGGCCCCACTGGCCCCACTAAATCTTTCCTTGCCTCCACCCACTCCCAGGCTCTGGTCCTTCCTCTCTCCCCCTTCTCAGTGGTCTGACTCATCTGTGCCCTGGGCCCTCATCTCTGGTGATACTGTCATATCCTGCCCCCTCCCTGCCTGGGAGGAGGAGGGCTACCCATGTCAGGTGGGACTCCCTGCATCTTAATAGGAGCCCTCGAAGGCCAGGCCTTCACCTATCCCAGAGGGTCCTGCTGATGAGCTTTTCTGTGATTCTCACAGGAGAGAGCA